TGTTCCTGCTTGTGAAAAAGGCCGCCGAGGTTCAGACTAACAGGCAGCCAACTGTTCGGTGCCCGTGGTCTCTGGCCAACTTAGACATCCGCATTGTATCAGGGCGTTCTCAAACAGCGCAAGATGACCTCTTCTGATATTTGTGGTGACGACCTTGCGAACCACGACTTTATGTGACCTACAACCACTCCTTCGGGCTCTTACGCCCTCCAACCGGGCCTTTGATAGTCGGTTCCGTTGGACCGCCCAGGTCCGTCTTTGGCCCTCATCGAACACTGACCTTGGTCGGCTCAATTCCCTTGCGAGCAGAAGACCCTCCATCAGCGGCTGTGGTCCTGTCAGATGCAGGAGCTCCGACCAGTGAAAATCACTGCCTCCGGCTTCATAGTTGATTGAGAAAGTGAGCTCTCAGGCCCATATGACACCAAGCCGACTGTGCGGTACTTCTGGTGCCTGACCGACATATAGCCTATATCGACTCAGGGGCTCCCCGATCGATGCAAGGGGCCCTCTGACTGCCATTTGAGGTCCGTTCTCACAGGCCTGGGCCCCTGAATATAACTCCGACCAGCCCTTCGTGCCCTTAGACCCTCTAATCCGGTCCTTAATCGTCGGACTTGGCCGGCCCAGCAGGCTCTTCAGGCCCTCTCGAATACTGCTTCTGGGCGACTGAAGGGCCCTTGCACAGCACAGGGCTGGCACACAGGCTAGTGGCTGTGAGGCGCTGACAGACGCTGGGACCGCGATCGATGTGAATCGCTGGCCCCGCCTCTGTTCCTGTTTGGAAAATGGGCCCTCAGGTCCATGACGCTGCGGAGTCGCCTATGCGTTACTGGTGATGTCTGGCCGACAGATAGGTCCTTATCGACTCAGTGGGACCCTGATCAGCGCGCATTGCCCTCTTGCTGGCATTGGAGTGCCAGGCCCTGTGGGTCAGAGGCTCTGAGTGCGGTCTTTGGCCTTTTGTGCCCTTGGGACCCTCAAATCGGGCCCTTAATCGTTGGTCTTGAGTCTAAGGGGAAAGGGGAGGCACGTGCCTCCCGTGCCTACTGTCTGCGCTACTGGGAGGGTCTGCGACCTAAACTGGGGAGGAGGTGGGTGTACTGGAGTCCCCTCACTGAATTGGTAGCGGCATACTCCTGGTCTAAAGAAGAAATTCTGAGGATGAAAATAAATTTTTGTCCTGCGTTTTGTAATATTTCACCGAAAATATATCGGGGCTCACGCCATCATTGAGGGAGGGGGTTAGGGGTTGGGTGGGTGGGGGAGGGGGGGGGGGGGACCTGTCTACAGGGTGTCCCGCGGTTGGTGCGGCTTGTCATTTCCCCTCTCCCGAACGCCGAGTGAGTGCAATTGTACCGCGCTCGGCCGAAGGGCATCCCGCCGTGTCAGGCGACCACATGACCCTAGCGGCCGGCCTGACCTCGGCCTGCAGTGGGCGGGAAAGGTCATTCCTTTCGAGGTAGCCAACGCGTCGAGTCCGCATATCGCCTATGGTGAAAGAGCACAAGCCATCAATCCTCTACCGCGCGGTTGGACTGGTCGAGGGCGGCATGACCCAGGTCCAGGTCGCCAGGGACTTGGACGTCAACGTAGCGACGATCAGGCGCTGACTGGCCCGCGACCGCTCAGGGGAGATGCTCGAAAACCGCACAGATTGTAGGCGGAAGTCGGCCTTGAGCCGAGTGGCCAAGATCGTCATTGCAAAGTCGGCCTTCAAAAGGCGCCACTTGATGAGAACCCTGGCAAGAAAACTGACGGCGGAGAAGCGCCCAGCCTCCAAGTCGGCCGTCCACCGGTATGTGAAGACCAGCCTGGAACTGAAGCCGTTCAAGCTTGGATTGCAGCCAGGGCTTGCCGTGTACCCCAAGCGCAGGCGGCTGGAATCCAGCAAGGCCCGCAAGAACTGGTCCGTTCAGGGCTGGAGACGCGTCCTGTTCAATGACAAGTCTCCATTCGAGCTCTTCCAAGCCTCTAACCGCCAGAACGACCGGGTCTGGGCCAACAGCTCGGAGGTGCCGTTCGCCGCGACAGTGAAGCTGCCGCTTAAGATTCTCGTCTGGGGCATGATGAGCTACAGAGGCCTCGCTGACGCACACCAAGTCCCGCGCGGGCAGACCGTCACCGCCGACTACCGCGTCAGGCTCGTCTGGGGCATGATGAGCTACAGAGGCCTCTCTGAGGCACACCAAGTCCCGCACGGGCAGACCGTCACCGCCGACTACCGCGTCAGAGAGGTACTGGAGAAGGCTGCAGCCTCGGCGATGCAGCAGAGGAAGATGAGCGGCCCGCCAACCAAGGTTAAACTCCTGTCTGACATGTCAAGGGCGATTTTACAGCAGGACAGCGCTCCAGCTCATCACGCCAGGAAGACCCAGGACCGGTGTTGCGCCAACTTCCCGGGTTACTGGGAGAAGGGTTCGTGGCCAGGCAACAGCCCCGATATGTCGCCGATCAAGAATCTCTCGGCGATCGGAGCTCAACAAGATGTTGCGGGTCACTTCAAAGGCGACCCTGCTCCAAAGCGTGCAAGCGGCGCGGCGAAAGGTCAAGTCAAAGACTCTCGGCGGCCTGACGTGCGGCTTGCCGGAGCGCATTCGACAGTGTTTACGACTGCGTGGGGATTACATTAGCAAATAAATCATCAACCGGTTTCACTTATTTCATCTGTTAGTGGGGACCATATAACCGCGCATCAATTCCGGGACACTGTAGTAGCGCGTTACGCATGTGCTCCGGTTGTGGACGCCCGATCCAGCCGATGGGCCGCACCCGGGGGCTCATCGAACTACTGACTGGAAACGATCGACGATGTCACGTGCCTATTCCTGGACGAAATCCTAGATTTGTTCATTCAAAACTGCAGCCATCGTTCAAAGGGGGAAAACAAAGTTGATGAAATCCGGCGAACTTCTCCGTTGCTGTCATCACCGTAGTATATAGCAAGAAAATGTCGCAACCACTCTCTCACCTCTAACAAAGGGTATCATTACATTGGCGCAACAAAGACAAACATAAATTATCAGCTTTTTTGTGCGCCTGGTTGGCCTCTGTGCAGCTGGGTACATAGGTGCGCATCCAGGGCCGTGCCCGCAGAGTTCACAATTTCACATATACCAGTATCTCCCTTACTCACAGGCGTACTTGTGTTCTTGTGTAAGTTCTGGCTGAATGGCTGTAGCAAATTTGGGAGGGATCGAGAAGGATAATTTACCTCTTTCTTACTGCACGGTGCGGTAACTCGGTAGGTTATGAGAAATCGCAGAGCGAATGTGGACAATGTTGATGACCAACGAAATGTCTGGCTAGAAATGGTCTGTCTGTTGCCCTGTCTGGAAATGACATTTATGTGCATTCTCTAAAACAGTTTGGTTTCAAGACCAAGATGCACCTAGGTAGGAGTAATTTTTCAAAATGGATTGGAGGACCCCCATGTCAATAGGAAAATACCATTTTAGTTAGGGCTAGATGCTGCACCTGTCTTCAATTATTCTTCATAACAGTGTGTATGCAAAAGTTATTGGTCACTGGAATTAACCTCATTCACAGCCAAGAATTTAAAGTGCAAGGTTATAACATACCACTCCAGAGTACAAGGGGTTAAGTGCTATTTTAGTCAGCAGATGCAAATACTTCTCAAGTGAAAGTAAGAAGTGCATTGTATACATTTTGCTTTAGTATTTTAACCTGTGCTTTGAGCTTTGATGTTCATAATTTAGTGAGCATAGCAGAGCTGTGTTTGATCAGACTCAAATTTGAAATGATATCACAAATATCAAAAAATTCATTTCCTCAACAACTGTTTGGCACAGCCAATGCTACTGATCAAAGCCAAGAGGGTCTAAATGACATGAGGCGCATGTTTGAGGAGCATTTCTAGCTTTAAGTAAATCAATTATTTATATGTGCTTGTGTAAAACGATCAGCTTAGACATGTTTTTAGCACAATTGTTTTAAAATTTGTGTTTGAACAGTACAACATGCATCTCTTTTTTAGCTGCATCAAATAATAAAACTCAATTTCAGGAACAAGTGTAGCAAAGTCTAATTTGCTGCTGGATGACAATGCAGAAGTAGGTTACAGGAAATGATAAGAAAGTGGTAAAATGGAAAAATTTCATCCCATGAGTGATTGTAATGGTCATTTGTGGATAAGAACCAGTGTTGAAAAATGTAATGAAATCAGTTATGAAGGAGCATTCACTTACCAAACTAGGGATGCAGGTTAAGGGTGTGCAGTGGGCAGCAGGTAGTCATTTGCTGCCATTACCTGGGAGATTTACCCTGGATGAGAGGTAGTTTTGGAAGAGTTGCCGTGAATTAGCAGGAGTTTGAAGGAAGTTTTATATTTGCCAACCAATAAAAATTCTTGTTAGCTGCTGGTGTGAAACTCAATTAGGCTGTTATGGCTCTTCACACAAATTTGCAATGGTGGTCAGATGTGGAGGTGTGGTGAATAACTTGCATTGTTTTAGGCAAAATGACCAGGACATGTGCAAAAAGAAGTTGAAGAAAGTGTGAGCTTAGTTAAGAGCAAGTACTGCCATATATATATATATATATATATATATATATATATATATATATATATATATATATATATAGCACAAAATCATTATTTTGGATGAGAGCAAACACAGCACCAAATGATTCAGGAAATGCAGGTTCAGTTAGATTTTGCTTCAGAAGTATTGTGGAATTGCCAGTGATGCCTTCCTGGCAATTAACATTGTCATGTCTTTCAGAACACACTCCTTATGTTCTGTGTTTTTTTGAAAGATGCAGCATACATGACTGAGTTTTAATACAACCTCTGTGGGTGAGCTTGCACATTTATTCATCACTGGTTATAATAGCTTGGCTCGTGCGTCATAGTTATAGTATTTATTATGCAGTTCCAGTTGGAGCCAGCATGTTTCAGTTTTTACAGAAGGTGGAAAAGATTTGGTTATGGATATTTCATACAGTATTCTTTTTGTAAGATCCAGTGTGAGCTTTCATTCCACATACTTGGGCTTGGCAGTCAGAAGAGCACAACTGCATTGTTCTGCATTTCACTTCAGCCAGAACTTGTCAGGACACTTTCCCAAGATGCCAAGATCATGATAAAGCTCTATCGACCAGGTGAAAAGTACAGTTGTCAAATCCTTGGAAGTACAGCTCATTTTGGCCTTTGCATCACACTATGCTTCACAGCTTGGTAAGCTCATGTGCATATGGTGAAGGCATCAAGTTTAAGTGTTTAGTAGATTTATATCCAAAATTTTGGGGCATTTGAGGCAACTGGTGCATACTGACTTGTGGCAGGTTAGGTCATGCTCCTTGTCAAGTTCATTGCACAACAATATGCATCTGTGTACACTGGCAAATAGCCTATCCATACTTCACAGTGCAAGCACTCTGCAGCCAGTTATAGGAGTGGTCTCACACCACACAAATTATAGATAATTGTTTTAGGGCACAGCTCATATTCCAATGTACAAATGAGAGTGAATGCACTACACACATCATCACATTACATCTGGAGACAGTGGTGTGATGGCTTAAGCTCAAATACTAATTCAACTATAAGTCATAGCAAATGCAATACATGTTTGAATTATGCTCACATTCATTGTAGTGTTGCTCTCTATTTGCTAAGTAGAAAACATTGTGATCACAATGTAATCACATAATGGATTAAGAGAAGGTGATTATGAATTTTTGAGATTATGTCAGTTTAATGCTCTCCTTCATGAGATCAATAAGAACCAGAAAATATCAGATCTTGGTTTCATCCAGCTCAAATGTTGACCCTTATAGCGTCCCTTTGAAACAATGAATTATGGCTGTTCCAATACCAATAAGTTTATTTGTGCCTTTCTGTTAAGCATGTTTGCTTGCCCTTTGTTGCCCTTGAAGTGAGGCATTGCTTGTATGAGGACTCAGCACTTGGATGGATCCTCTGCCACTTCCTTTCTGGTATGCCTTGTGGTGGCTTCTGCCAGAGGCCGCCGCCGGTCTGGCCGCCTTGGTGACGGTGGCGGTGGCGGTGTCGTTGACGGTGTCATTGACGGTGACCGTTGGCGGCAGGGGAGCGCGCCGTCGCCGCGCGGTGACCGGAGGTCAGCAGCATGTCGCAGGGCGAGAGGGAGCCGCTGCTGCGGGGCGGCCGGACAGTGCCGCCGCAGCCGCCGCCCAGCGATACGGTCACCTCCGAATACTGGAGCCTGGAGGGCTCCCAGGAGGGCGGTACGTATGGACGGCTCCGTCTCGGGCGCCTACCGCAGGCGCCTGCCTTATCGTAAGCGACGCGCCATTGAGAAGGCCGTCGTTGTGATGTTGACGGATCTGCTCGGACATGTGTGCGCCAGAAGGTATGTCCAATAAATCGATGTAAAGCATTACACTTGTGGTTGATGTCTTATTCCAGTCATGCCACATGATACCATACATGCACGGTTCAGTTCTGGGTCATGTGGGATAGGGGATGCAAACGCAGCATAAAAGACAACGTGCCGAGTCAAGAAATATCTTAAACAGCATATTGGGTAAGTTTTGAAGTGAACTTGGGTTCAGTTTGAAACCGCGTCATGGATTGGCACGTAATCTCCACTTCTCGCTGACAGTTTCACAGACTGAGTGCGTTCTGGACCGCACACTTTGCAGACGTAGGTGTGAGATGTAAACGCCCTCTGTTTCTAGAGGCTCGCCCCAGGCGTGCCTAGTCAGTCGTGGACGCCACCTCCTGACTCGGGGGGGGGGGGGGGGGGGGGGGGGCAGTTCCAGTGCGTGCGTGTTTGTGTGGCGTGCGCTGGGCAAGACCGTCGGACACGGCATGATTGCCGGACTCAGCGCAGAAGGGCGCTGACTTGTCACTCGCTGTGGATAGCTTAGTATAGCGTTTATCGTTATCAAATTGGGACGGAAAATGACACAACACCTAGTGACCAACCTAATGTGATGCGTAATAGCAACGCTCCGTCAAGTCTTTGATTCAAAATTACGACGGACAGTATATAGTATATTTCTTAGTATTGTGGACACTGCACCTGAACGCGGCAGAGGCCAGTGCCGGATGGCCCTCCATTGCCATCCGTTGCTCAAGTGGGCTGTTGCCGCCGCCGAAGTTCACCTGCTCTGGCGTTGCAGACGAGGTGCAGGCGGGCTCGCGGCCGCTGGACCACGCGGCGGCGGTGCGCGCCGCCGACGGCACGCTCACAGTGGCGTGTCGCATCTGCGAGGCCACGCTCGACCTCAGCGGCCGCACCGAGCAGCACGTGGTCAAGTGCCACGAGTGCCACGAGGCGACGGTGGGTGCGGCGGCCGGGCGGACAGCACCGCCGCCGGCCCCGACGGCCGTGCACGCCCGGCCGGCGGTGGGACGCAGGGGGTGGCGAGCGCCCTGTGATCGACTGGCTGGTGTCAGCGCTGGTTTGATGCGTCCGTCCAGCTGTTGGCTGCGGGTTATGGGTCAGCCCGCGCTACCGCCGGCGAGCGCGGTTATGGCAGGCTCCGACGTGTCAGTTGCTGGCGAGCCGCGGCGTGTCTTCCCCGCTGCGAGGGTCTGCGGTTTGCAACGCGATCCGTAGCGTGCCGTTCGGTGTGGCAGTTGAAGGTCACTGAGCCTTTCCGTCGTCAGCTCCGGCTACAGTTACTTGGGCTTCGAGTGGGCGGGTGGGGCTCACTGATGGCCTTAGTTTTGACGTTTAAACCTGTTCAAGCACATCACGTTATTGGGACAGGACCACCGCTGCCGAACACCTGCAACATATACAAATAAGCTCTGTTTGTATTGTAATACAAACCCGGCAAAATGAATTGCGCGACGTTTCGGTCGATGGATGTTTATCTAACCTTATTGGTTGAAACACCACATAATCTATTGTTCAGTTAATTGTTTTGTGTGATACTTTGGTGGCAGTAGCTATTCATAACCGGCGCCCCACTCGCCCGCTGCAGCCGGTGAGGACGGCGCCGCCAGGCAAGAAGTACGTGCGCTGCCCGTGCAACTGTCTGCTCATCTGTCGCGCGTCGAGTCTGCGCATCGCCTGCCCGCGCCCCAACTGCAAGAGAGTGATCAACCTGCCGACGCCGACCAGCCAGAGCAGCCAGCCCATGGTGCCGGGCATGTGCCGTGTCGTCTGCGCCTACTGCCGCGACTCATTCCTGGTCAGTAGACGGCGGCGCGCGGCTGCGCCCGCCGGCCGGCCGCGACACGATCGCGCCGGGCGACTCCTGCGCGGAGTTTTGGGGAGATGTATCTGGGCGATCCCCTAGAACAGTGGGGCGATCACGGAACGAGAGATCGGGGAGCTGGGACTTGTCTGGATGCTAGTGATGATGAATGCAGGGCCATCTGGGACTAACCACTAACGGCGCCTTTTTTTGGTGGGGGACGTTTTCTTCGGGGGATGTGTGCGAGTTTGGGTGCTTTGAGTGTGCCACTTGTAGCTTACATGGGGAAATGTGGTATAATTGTGCTATAGCGAAGATTGATAGGATGGAGACCAATTGTACTGTTCTCCTACTGCATAAATAACAGCAGCCTCTTGATGCGATCTTGGTGTAGTCTGTGGGCGATGATGTCCTCGTGGCTATGATATATGTCTCAGTTCCACAAATACGGATCTCATCGATTTGATTTGCCCACTACCCTGTGACTTAGAAGTCACAAGTCTAGCATGCTAGGTAGTCTGGTGACTTGAAAGTCACGGGCTAGTCTTGCGCAACGGAAGGGTTTTCGAGTTTTGTGCGTACAGCAGGTGGCAACCAACGGCATTGGTGTCTGCCTTTTATCCACCTTTATACATCGATCGCTTATTTGTAACAGTTATCGTACCTGAATATCACCATTATTACCTTTCGTCTTTGTGATCTGTTTCAAATGTTTATTGACGACCTTTTTAAGATGGTAGAAGCGTCAAACGGGACTCTGTAGACCGTGCGATACTCAATGTATCCTAAATCACGGCAATTAAAATGGACAAAATGGCAGTGGTTAAATTACAGGGCACAACATATCAGTGGCCACGGCGGTCAGCTGTGCACCCGGTGACTGGCGGTGACGCGAGCATCTGACCCAGCTCTGAGTCTGAGTCTAAGTCTCTGCCTCCAGTTTAACGCGCTGAGCGGCAAGCTGTCGCGCTGCCCGCGCTGCCGCAAGGTGTCGTCGGTGGGCTCGTACGGCCGCCGCCGCGGCGCCGCCTTCCTGGTGGCCGGCCTGCTGCTGGCCGGCATCGGCGTCGGCGTGACGTTCGGCACCCTGAGCTACGCCCGTCGCAAGCCCGGCGTCTACGTCGTCTACATCGGTACGGGCCGCGGGCGGCGCTGGGCTGCGAGCGGTTGGCGTTGGGGTGTGTGCGGTGTGCTGTGTTGACAGGGGTGACTCATCCGCCGTGACCTTGCGGGGCGTGTCGGCTGGTGCTGGTGCGGATCTGTGGTGTTTTTGTGACATGGCTCCGGCGCTGATTTGTGGCAGGTTCGACCCAGGTGTGCTTAGCCATGGAACTGCGTTGTTTTGCTTGAGCTGCACTCATCTTCATGATTAAAATAGTGAGCATTCCTGTAACGGGAGCTGGTAGCATCTGACGCATGTTAAGTCCATACAGGCCGGGTATACGAGCGTAAGATGGTCGGAAGGTGTTCTGAATGTGCTTGCCCGTTTTGGCAGCGTGTCATTCGTCCGTCCACTCGGAGTCGTTCTGTGTCCGAAGACGTTTGGGTGTTGGATGGTCAAATGGATTAAGCTTACAGCAAACGTGTTAAGGTTAATTTTTCCTTTCCGGGCGGGGTCGTCGTACCGGCCGTTCCGCGCGACATCGCCTGACATGCCGCCTGCTCGCAGGCGCCTTCTTGGCCGCTCTGGTGCTGATTCTGCGCGCCGTGTACTACTTCACGCTGCGCACCAGCGAGATCGACCACTCGGCGTGAGCGCCACCTCGTCGCCGGACCAGCTACTACAGCTTCGACAGACAGCCGTTGATTGATGGTAGCACGGCGTGGCGCCACCGTGCGCTGCCGTGGATCTGTTTAATTCCGCCGAATGCCTTCTATAGGAGTGGCATTGGCCGTATGGTGGCTGTGGATATATGGAAAAGCTTGGGAGTGGTACTCTTATGCGATTTGCTCGTTCGGTCATTATAGCACATACGATAAATTACCCGCTGCTTTCTTGTCTATGTTATGTGTGTATCATTCGATGTAAGCGGCCCAGCAGTGTTGTGTTGGCGCATGCCAACGCCTGCCGGCAATCGTCCAGCGTACTCGAAACTGAGCGTTCCGAGCTGCGGAGGGCGCTTCTGCATAGCGGGGGCCGTGCGCCGCACGGCGTCCAGCTCGGCTACCACGCGCTGCGACGGAGACGGGGAGTGCCGGGAAACCCGGCGGCGTGGGCCGAGGAGCCGCCGACGGCTGGACTCCCCGACACGCGGCGGTGACGGCGGAGCGCGCGCCCTCCGCCACTGGACCGGACCGCTGTTTTATGGTGTAGCTGCTGCTGCTGCTGTGTACATAGGCGTGTGCCGTGGTGTCTGTACGCGGCCACGGGGCCGCAGGAGCGGCCGTGCTTATCGGCAGGGGACAGATGGGCGCTGGCGAGCGCCCCGTGCCGCCCGGTGGCCTCCTCGCTTCCGCCCCCGACACTAACACGTTGGCTACAGGACGCGTCATGAACTGCATGTGTGAGGGACCTTTTTGGAACCAGATCTTACGGCAGACTCTCAGCGCCGGTCGGCGTCCGGCGCGTCAAAAGGCTTTGGGGCGTGCTGTGCGCGCCCGCGGCCCCCGTTTCGGCTCGGCTCACCATACCTGCTGGCTTTCATAGCGGCGCCGGCAGCACTTCGCGACGGTCGGCTGCGGCCGGCTTCTGGTCGATGCGAACGTGCTCAGGCCACACACGGCTCCCGTGGCTGTCCCTTCACCCCCTGAACAGTCCGCTCTGAGAGCTGTGCAGCTCGAGGCTGGGGGGTGGGCCTCTTCCGCCGCCGCCCCACCGGCCGCTCGGTCCGGGAAGGACCGCGCCGGACCGGCCGCGCCCGTCCCCCCTCCCCCGCCCCCCACCGTATTGTGTGCCCCTGTTGCTGCGCACCCCCGGATGTGGTATGCAAGGGTGGACAAATACATTATCCCCTAGTTTGGAGGCGTTTAGCCGCGAGTGGGGTGTGTGCCCCTTGCCCAGGCCACAGGCCGTCCCGACGGGACAGGGAGCTTGTTCGATTGGCGCTTGGTGAGAACAGGAGAGGATCAGCATAGCAACTGGAGACTGCAGTAGTGGTTCACATAGCGTAATATATGTCAACATGACGATGGTATGTAGCGGAAAATGTCCGGACAATGCGGACATGTATGTTGCGCCAATAACCTACAGCCGGCTCCTTGAAAAAGCACACTGAAAGGTCTGAAAATTCGGTTCAGGGAAGGGTGAATGTGAAATTTATGTCCCAGGTTTCCGAGAAATGTACGTGTAAGACACAAAATATTTGGAGATGTGGACACCATCGAAGTAGCCATGCTCAAATTTGGTGATCCAGCATTTCCAAATGTTGGGTGATCCTAGCCAATGCTGCAGAAGTCAAATCAGGTTTGGTAGATTTCCACGGGCGGCATACTGATTATTTTAACGCGGCGTACATTGTTTTATCTATGGCTGCGTAGGCCGAGAACTCCCAAAATTTCGCACATTTATCTCCGTTAAGTGTGCGCCAGGTGACCATTGGAGGATGAACGTAGGACTGCCAGCCCCCAGTACGGATAAACGTGCGAATACGGTGGGATGAATTGCCCTCCTCTTTTCTAAGAGGCATGACAAATGGTTCTGGCCTGCTAGGTAGATATATACGAACACATATGAAACGCCTTTTTATACCATTATCCAAGAGCAGGTAACCAGGAGTGCCCCCCCCCCCCCTCTCATGAATAAACCGTACGTTAACACCAGAAAGCATAAAATGAAGTCGCGGCACTCTCAGCTAGGAAGAGGAAGCAAACATAAAGAAGCAAGCAAAAATATGGTGCAGACCCGGAGCGAACCGTTTTGTGCAATAGACAAGGACAAATCAAAGATGAGAAGGCTTAAAGTAGTCATAGCCTACATCAGCTAATGACAGCCTGCTATAACCACCCAATAAGCTACAACCACTCATTCACAGTGTTAGCAAAGGTTGTACAGTCACACAAGTCGGAGGGGCAATTAACTGGTCATTCTCGTGTTGGGTCTTGAGCTGGATGTCCTGGGAGTCCACCCAGCTAAGTGGAGGTTGTTGCTGGGAGAGCTGCCGAAGCCAGCACCATGAATTTGGGCGCCAGTGCATGAATATAGCTATATCAGAACGTGATTATGGAGCGTGAGGAAGGTTAAATATGAAATGAGTTACATACATGCAGAGCAAAAAAATGCAATGTCGTCAAATATGTTGGTTACGTTAATATGCATTCGCGAAATGATAGCAGATTATGTCCTTGACGATGTTTTTATGCAACGATATCAGTTATTCTTGGAAAATATGAAATCATAATATCGTTCCACGGTTTAGGACCTAGGCAAGATGCTATAAATAATCTATAGTTACGATTAGAGAAAGGGTGGTCTAAATGTTTCACTCGCCTCACATCCATTTCATTTGATTCGTAGAGCTTGTATATCAAATCGAATAATGCAGGAAGCTGTGAAGTTAGAAATTTATGCATCACAATTGTCATTTGGGATTTAGCGATACCTGATAGTTTCAAAATTTTGTATCGCTTAAAGATTGGTTCGGAGCTTTGTGGAGGATACATGTTTTCTATCAGGCGCTTCAGATATATCGTAAGAGTTACGCACTGCACACATGACATATGCGTCCGAGTCTTTAATTTTCTCTGATACATGAATGCACTTTCCACGTCGTCAGGCTTGGAATCTGAATCAGTCAGAACTATATTTTTCTGCGATCGTCAGAAGGACGCAGACACTACGCTGTAGTTGTGTTCAGTGTCACATCATGTGTCAGTGACACACCATATGTCAGTGGCACACCATGTGACAGCGACACACAATGTGTCAGTGACACACCTTGTGTCAGTGACACGCCATGTGTCAGTGTCACACCATGTATCAGTGACACACCATGCGCCAGTGTCACACCATGTGTCAGTGGCACACCATGCGTCAGTATCACATCATGTGCTCCTGTGCGCCACTGACAGACGGGACTCGGACCGCCATCGGCGCGCTGCCCCGTCCGCCGCCGTTCCAGTCGACACCACTGGCCGTCAGCTCTGCTGGCGGCTATCATCAGACGAGGACCACGGTCACCCGGCGGCGCCGCTCTCACTACACCTGCGTCCTCTGTTGGCGTGGGCGCGGGCAGGCTGTGACCCAGAGCACCCCCGGCGCCCTCGGTCGTCAAGACGAACTGGACTCACCGTGACATCAGCTAGTGGAGTCATTTGTCTTGGTGTGTCCCCACCCTCTGTCTCCTTGTGGCCGCTTCAAGTCAATTAGGCCTGCTCTCGGCCGTCGGCCAGGGCGCCATTGTGGCCGGCTCGGGCCGGGCGGCCGGCTGAATGCGGCTGGATTAATGCGCGGTGCAGAGCAGCTGCAATGTACGACCTCTCGCTCCGCGGTGTCGGCGGCGCCGCGCCGAGCGGGAGCGCGAGAATATCACACCGCTGGCGTATCTAACGGGATTTAACCAGCGGACTTTGAACATGGGGGCGCCATAGCTGGTAAGCCTGTTTCAATCTGAAGGCGCCGTGTGCGCTGGTCCCCGCTCGTTCGCGTCTTCATTGCTCCTGCTCGGCTGCCAGGTAGAGCCCGCAGGAGCGGATCCAGTGGTGCTTTTTCAGCGGCATTGATGATTAAACATCGTTTGAGGTCAGTTTTTTGAAGCAACGCTCATGCAGTAGCGCAGGCGGGGAGGGGGGGGGGGCATAGGGGGCACGTGCCATCCCCATCAGGTTCCGAGTGGCCCGAAGTGTCCGAAAAGCCGGGCGGAGGTCGTATTTAGGGACCCTGGTCCGCAAGCCCAGATACTCCAATGCTAACCGGAGGGCCGTGTGCGCTGATCAAGGGCCCCTGAGTCGGAAGTGTCTATATGTTGGTCAGATACCACCAGTAACACAAAGTCGCCTCCGTAATGGCATGGGATTGAGGGCCTATTTCCCTCGCAGGAACAAAGCCGGAGCCAACGATTTCAGTTGGTTGGAACACGGCGTCTGTCAGAGCCCAACAGCACATAACGAGGACCCTTTTTTGGCAAGGGGTCCCTAGTCGGCCAGGTGTAGTACTGAGGAGCCCCAAAGAGCCTGGAGGGCTCACCGGGTCCTACGATCAAGGGACGGACTGAAGTGTCTAAGGGCACGAAGGCCTGGTTGGAGTCTTATTCGGGAGGCCCGGCCTAAAGGAAGAGTCCTAAATGGCAGTCAGAGGGCCTTTGGCGCCGATTGAGGACCCCCCCTGAGTCGATTTGGGTCCTCCCGTTGGTCAGGCACCACTAGTACCATGTAGTCGGATCCGCATCGGTATGGACTTGATGGTCCACTTCTCAATCAGCTATAAAGCCGCAGCCAGTGATTTACACTGATTGGGTGCCTTGTATCTGTCAAGGGCCCACAACGCCTAACAGAAGGTTCTGTGCTCGCAAGGGCCTCGAGCCAGCCAATGAAGTGCTCAATGAGGCCCGCAGAGGGGCCCGGGCGGCCCAACGAAACCGACGATCAAAGGCCCAGTTAGAGGTTACAAGGGCCGGAGGGACTGACTGTGGGTCACCATCCACGCCATAAGGAAGGTTCTAACATAAACGTTCAAGTCTTCCTTATCCCAAAAACTAGCGTCTGCTGAAAGGTCTAAAATTTTCAAGGTCATGTTCACGATCAATTGACGAGAAACCCCAAATCACCAGAGGTCTTTCGGTCGACTTCTGATCTTGAAGCATCGAAATCTGCTCGCGTGAAGAAATTAGCGTGCGTCTTAAACTCTTAATATATCAAGATAACCTACGAGATTGATTTCAAGATCATGCGTCTGGAAATCCATTTCTGTCAAAAGCTACGGGCTGACTGCGGGTTTTTGAGCATCAGAATATTCTCCATTACAAAACCAGCTTCCGTCGAAGGCCCCTAACTCCTCAAAATCAATCTCCTATGCTGTATTAAAGGTCAGGCCTTCGCAAATGTAAAGTTTGCAAACCATGACTTTACAGGTGATCCCATCGCCACGCATTGTTTTTGTCTATTGACCTGCCCTTCCGGTGTCCGGAGAGTCGATTCTGCTGTGCATGCCAGAAGCCAGTTTTCTAGGACTGATTTCGATAAGTTCAAAGTATCAAGTGTGTTATGGTTATAGACATCTTTAAGGATCTTACCAATCTTTTGTTGATTGGAAAAATTTGTGAAAAGTATTTCTTGTTCCAAAGATGCCAAGCATCTTCTTTTTTGTAGTGTTGTATAATGGGTATAGTTTTCCATCTACCTATATATATATATATATATATATATATATATATATATATATATATCTGTTACATATATGTGTACACTACATACACATGCCTATCACACCTGTTTGAAACTTAGTTTGAAATGTTTTTCCGGAACACAGCTGCTCGTGTAGTCAAAGCCTCGACTTCTCGTGTAGTCTCTTAACATTCAGCCGGCCAACTCAACAACGAGATCCTGAGTGCGCTGCCTGAGATCCTGGACATGGTCCAGGACTTCTGGCAGGCGTTGGACCCGCGGCGAGAGAGAGAGAGAGAGAGAGAGAGAGAGAGAGAGAGAGAGAGAGAGAGAGAGAGAGAGAGAGAGAGAGAGAGAGAGAGAGAGAGAGAGAGAGAGAGAGAGAGAGAGAGAGAGAGAGAGAGAGAGAGATCCTGTCGCAGGCGAACAAGGGGAATCCCAATATGGGTAGCGTGGGCACCGAACAACCGCAGTTTGTGACCGATGGACTACGTCACACTTTACAGCCCGACACCAGAACGCCTCGTCGCCGACACTGGGCAACACTGAGCGCCGCCGCACCACGAGAGAGTGACACCGCGCAGATGTCACCCGATACTGGCGTGGGGCAGTGACGACATCCGTGCTTGCCAAATGCGCTGTGAAAGACGTCATGTTCGTTCCCGGCTTTTGAGTCTGCTGGCGGTCCATGCGCACTAACATGGTCTGCATCCGCCGAGCTGACAGGCCGACCTAACACACTGAACACTTACCACTTGCAAGAATATCCATATAAGGGCGAGCTGACGCACTCGTGCGCCCACACACGGTAGACCGGTGCGTCAGGAGAAGAAATGGACTGTTTCCGTAATCTTGACAAGGTAGGAAGAATATAAGGTAAGCTAAAATGCATGAACTGAGCTTTGCACTTCTATGGAACGGCCTCGCTCCATCATTCATTGTACCGACCGATGGGTCTAGCCAGGCAGGTTAACGCGGTCTGGCCGGAAGCCAGATATTTCTAACCTTTTGAATTTTGATTATCAAACCCACATCTCAAAATAGACAGGGACGGCCCCGCGGATTTTAAGTTAGAGCCAGGATTTCCAGGGGGCCTTCTCGACAAAATGAAGCCTTCTTACAGGCCGGGGGGGGGGGGGGGGGCGTCCTGGACAGTGGATATACAAGGTGTAGGGAGGCACGCGGGAACGTGCCCTTATCAGATTGCTACATGCATCGATATCCATGCACATAAATGTCCGCATTACAAAATCCAGAATAAGATCTTTTTTATTTCTTATCCGGAAAAGGATCATTGCCATTCACAAAGGGGCCTCAAACTTCAGCAAAGAGTCTCATTATCCCAAAGCAGGGTATCCTGATTCGCAACTGAGATAATATAACGCATGAAATGGGATCCCGTCTCAGAAAAGAGGCCTTCCAGTTCACAACCGGGACCTCCAAAATTATAACAGGGGATCCGGAACGAGAAAAAGAGCCTCTTGAACACAAAATAGGACCTCCTGATTTAGAGCATGAGCTACCAAATTCCAATGTGATCTTAAACTCTAGATCAGTTGTGGAGCCTCCTTTATCTGAATTTTGGTAGTTTATGTGTAGCTGCAAAGCCTTTAGTTTGGGCAAAAGGAGCCTCCCAAAAAATTCTGGAGAGTAAAGGACACTGTTGGCCCGTCTGCCAGAAACCGACCCTCGTTCCCCTCCCCTTCTTCCGGGCCGCCCCTGGAATGCGTCATGATTCCCCGCAGTCCCTCTTCAATGCTCCACAAGCTCCCGACGCTCGACTTCACCACTGCTATCGCTAGAAAAAAATACAACATTGGTTGCCCTATATGACTGATGGAAAGCAAAAATGCAAAAACCGCATTGGCTTCCTCCTCTATTTCCTCACGCAATATCGGCTGGCCTCTTCATTCTCCCCGACATTCTCTTGACCCACAACCATCTGTCCGGAAATGCTGACACGCATTGCCGAGGCAGGTGTTGACTGCAACGCGACTTTGCCAACCACCGACTAAAAAACAGGAACCCAAAAAACAAACAAAAACAAAACAAATACGCTTCGAATTCGGTTTCGTCAGGGCGACTAAACTGCACCGTCACTGATGTCCGTCTTGGCCGCTAGATGACAGCAGCGTTGCGGCCGGCCGAGCCCGGTTCAGTCGAACGCGGGTGCGCCGGCGGCGTACGGGCGTGCTGGCCACTACGCCGGCGCGCGTGGCCGTGGGCGGTGAGGCGGGTGTGACGTGGTGGCGTGTGGTGACCGGACTGGACCGGCAGCGGCGCGAGCTAAGCGACGGACACGGACGGCGTGACAGACGCACAGGAGGACGGGAGGACGCCGGGAGGACGGGAGGACGCCACGGCGGCAGAACAAGTACAGTGCTGGTGGCACTGGGGCGCTCGGTGCTTCGTGGGTCGATGCGTAGGCCGGAGGGCTCGCTGGGACGGCCTCGGACGCCATCCGTCCAGTAGCGTCCCAGTCCAGACGCCTGCTTGGAGGCCCGGCCAGCTCTCCTGCTAACCGCTAGTCGCACGATGCAGCTACACAGAGGTGTCAGGTACGTCCGCTTCGCGGCACGCCACGAGCTTGCCGACCGGTTCTGCGAAGACCCAGCTGCCTCAACAGCCAGCTGCAGCTGGTTTGCGCAGCCTTCTGCGGCGTTTCTGAGGCAACTGTCGTGGGCCCGGATAGTAGTAGTTGCTAAGGTTTGAAGCGTCGTTATTCCTGGCGGAAGACGTGTCAGGTTAAAACGCTTTTCATACACAAAATAACTGAGCTGATATGCTGCAAAAAACGATCCTTAATATTCCGCGAATGACTGGGTAACCGATGCCATCCGGGCAGCCATTGATATATATATATATATATATATATATATATATATATATATATATATATATATATATACTAATGTGTGAGTGCGTGCCTGCATGCGTGTGTGTGCGCGCGTGTGTGTGCATGTATGTGTGTGAGCGGTATCATACAAAACTCGACATCTGGAGACAGTACTCGTGGTAACGAGTAGACAAAGCTAAGCGACAAATGCCATTCAGAAACCCAAGGCGCGTGAAGGACAGAGCATATTGCAAATCTGTGCATGGTTATCTGTGCAGACTCTGCCGATAAAATGTACCGAAATAATCTATCATTCAGGTTCTCACGTCATCACACACAACACATGGTATTGTTGTAAGATTTCTATACCTGCTCGGTACACAAAAGGGTATGCCTTAAGGCCTCAGTTAACCTAGCTAAGTATGAGGCTGGAAGTACACCTCTCAAGAACATTAATATGGACGTTCCGGCCCAACATCCCAGCATCTGATGCCTGCACCATGCTGCGGGCTGTCCGAAGCACAGCCAATGCTGGACCGAAAGGTTTCAGTGACCCGCACCGAGCATGAAGTTAGAAAGTTATTTGGTACAGGATATCGGTACCCAAAGCAGTAACCGGAGCGCTGTTTCTAGACACACTGTCACCTTGCCCCAACAACGCCGCTCAGATCTCGTCTGAAGACAACGCTTGTTTTGGCATCGACGAAGATTATGGATGTCCGGTGATTTTAAAATCCTGAGCTCGTGTTCCCCTGCGCTGTCGCTAAAAGGTGCCTACTAAAGCCGGTGTTTGTTGTAATATGCACCATCGTCGCGTGCCTGTCTGCCATGTGCACCTCTAGTAGTGTATACGCTCTCCGTAAACGCGTGTCTCATAGGTGGTCATTAAATCGGTTTGGAATGCAGCGTTTTGTTTCTCCTGCGCGACACATCGTTGGCCCAAGCTTACAACAGATTTTACGCAACGCATTCCTCAGTGTGTATTTTCCTTTCAGGCCATTAGCTCGTGTGTAATTATATACCTGTAATCATAACACAGAAGGCAGTTAGGGTCACCGAAACATTTTCGCGTATCCTTGTGTGCATCGTACAGCCTTTAGCGTAGAGTCGTTTATAGGATATAAGCGCGTGGAAGCTTTAATAACCGATTTATTCGGTATACTTCTGTTGACAGATCCTGCACAGATTTAAACAATTTCGCTGTCTTTCACTCGCCTCTTTTATTTTTGAAGATTGTTGCGCTTCCCTAAGCGTTTTCGTTCGTGACCATAAGCACCGTCTAGAAATTCCATTTTCTCATGATGCTCACCAATGCTTGCTTGATGGCACCTTTGAACCTGTGCCTCCTGGCACACTCGGCCATTACAACATAGCATCTGATAACCCAGAAACTAATAGTCATCCTTACTGACACTGACACATGAGTTCAGACCTCACCTAGCACAGGGCAGCTTTTCTAACCACTCGATCATCGCGTCCCCCACCGCAGCCACCCTGCCGCCGTACCCAGTTCTAAGCGAGGGCGCGTGCCCCAGACGGCGCGCCGCTGGAGGTGACGTCACCACGCGCCGAGCCGTGACCGCAATATAACCCAGGGACGTGGACGGGTAACTATTTACCTCAAGTGCGGTCGGGCGGCGATGTTGGGCGCGGTGTCTGTAGACATCCAGCCGCACCCACGCAGCCGGCACTGCACTGTCGTAGCCTCCACACACTGTCGTACTTCTATCGTAGCCTCCACACACTGTCGCACCTCTGTCGTAGCCTCCACACGCTGTCGCATCTCTGCCGTAGCCTCCACACACTGTCGCATCTCTACCGTAGCCTCCACACACTGTCGTTTCTGCGATTTGGTTTGTTTTGGTTGGTATTACAGCTCTTCCGGCCAGCATTTGCCATTCCAGAGTTTTGGGATGAGGAGGAGAGGTTGGTGGCGGGGACCACACAGCGGCCATTTTGGGGTACCTCCGCCAACGGGCCTTTCCCCGCTCAGGAACTCCCACCGAGGTATGGGCGGCGCTCGGGCGGGGCTCCCCCGAGGGTCACGTCTCTATTTCTCACACATCTACCGGCCGCCAGCACGGACACTGTAGCGCCGATCGTATCCGTGCTGGCGGTTAAGCCGTGTGGACATCCATCCCGAGGGACGAAACGGACACACGGCGCTCTGTGCCCGATTCATGTGGGAGCTGCACTACAATGACCGGCTCTGCTTCTGCCCCGGCGTTCGAAGCTTCAATGACCGGCTGTGCTGCTACCCCGGCGTTCGAAGCTACAATGACCGGCTGTGCTGCTACCCCGGTGTTCAAAGCGCGGCCAGCGCGCCGAGGCCGCATGAGTCATGACATTCGACACGTGTCCGCTGTTTACACTGCTGCGGCCAGCGGGCGGTGTTGACAGAGGTCAGCGCGTAAGGGCTCCCGCCTCGTCACAGACACGGCCGCCAGAGCTGAGCGTGCCGATGGGAAAGGATTGTCAGGAAGAGTGATACAAGGTTAAACAAGGTCAAACAAATGCAACTTATGCCGAAAGCAAACGACCATCGATACACACCCAGTATCTCAGCCGTGCGATGATATGTCCGCGGTCCTAATCATTAAAATGCATCCATTAAAAAAGGGCTCACATTTTTAGGCGGAAACACAAACAGACTGAGGTATTCGCCGACTGAGAAGTGTTCGCACCGCAGCATGCTCAGTTCTGGACCTCCATACACCTCCGCGGCCAGCAGGAGCACAGCAGAGCAGCTGTCGTATCCGTGCCGGCTGTAGAGCCACATGAACTGCCATGAGCCGTTACACGGCAGACAGCGAATGGTGTCCGGTTGTCACGACACGGAAACACTTTATCGCAATGAAATGCTTCCCCACAGACGCCATTTTTGCCTCCGATGTCCGTGCAAACGAGGGTATTGAATCACCAGGGTGATCGCCCGATTTGTATGCTGTGAAAACGCCACTCGGAACTGAGGAAAAGATCGCGGTAAAACCTGTCCATGTGGCATATTGGGGAATGGTGGCATTCGGACTACGCTATGTTATGACGCCGGGTAATATTTGTCTTCTTTAAAATGCGTATAGGTCGAAGTTCGCTCCAGGGATTATCATGGAAAAATCAGGAAGCCCGGCATACATGCTACGCTGACTTGCGCTTTGCAAACGCATCGCGCAGATACTCGCGCCGCGCACTGATGCGTAACAACGGTTCATCGCTCAGTCGATTAAATTCTGTCGAACCAATCACGCGCAGCTCCAGCGATACCCAGCGCTGTGCTACTCAAGCAGAGACGGTGTCCCGGCTGACCGCCCCCAGCCGGTCCGCTGGTCCGAGCGGAGGGCGGCAGGACGTCCCCACCAGGCGGAGTCCCGGCTGACCGCCCCCAGCCGGTCCGCTGGTCCGAGGGGAGGGCAGCAGGACGTCCCCACCAGGCGGAGTCCCGGCTGACCGCCCCCAGCCGGTCCGCTGGTCCGAGCGGAGGGCGGCAGGACGCCCCCACCAGACGGAGTCCCGGCTGACCGCCCCCAGCCGAGCGGTCCGAGCGGAGGGCGGCAGGACGCCCCCACCAGGCGGAGTCCCGGCTGACTGCCCCCAGCCGGTCCGCTGGTCCGAGCGGAGGGCGGCAGGACGTCCCCACCAGGCGGAGTCCCGGCTGACTGCCCCCAGCCGAGCGGTCCGAGCGGAGGGCGGCAGGACGTCCCCACCAGGCGGAGTCCCGGCTGACCGCCCCCAGCCGAGCGGTCCGAGCGGAGGGCGGCAGGACGCCCCCACCAGGCGGAGTCCCGGCTGACCGCCCCCAGCCGAGCGGTCCGAGCGGAGGGCGGCAGGACGCCCCCACCAGACAGTGTCCCGGCTGACCGCCCCCAGCCGGTCGCTGTCCGAGCGGAGGGCGGCAGGACGTCCCCCACCAGCGTCCCGGCTGACCGCCCCCAGCCGTCCGCTGGTCCGAGCGGAGGGCGGCAGGACGTCCCCACCAGGGAGTCCCGGCTGACTGCCCCCAGCCGGTCCGCTGGTCCGAGCGGAGGGCAGCAGGACGTCCCCACCAGACAGTGTCCCGGCTGACCGCCCCCAGCCGAGCGGTCCGAGCGGAGGGCGGCAGGACGCCCCCACCAGGCGGAGTCCCGGCTGACTGCCCCCAGCCGGTCCGCGGTCCGAGCGGAGGGCGGCAGGACGTCCCCACCAGGCGGAGTCCCGGCTGACCGCCCCCAGCCGAGCGGTCCGAGCGGAGGGCGGCAGGACTCCCCCCAGGCGGAGTCCCGGCACCGCCCCCAGCCGGTCCGCGGTCCGAGCGGAGGGCGGCAGGACGCCCCCACCAGACAGTGTCCCGGCTGACCGCCCCCAGCCGGTCCGCTGGTCCGAGCGGAGGGCGGCAGGACGCCCCCACCAGGCGGAGTCCCGGCTGACTGCCCCCAGCCGGTCCGCTGGTCCGAGCGGAGGGCGGCAGGACGTCCCCACCAGGCGGAGTCCCGGCTGACTGCCCCCAGCCGGTCCGCTGGTCCGAGCGGAGGGCAGCAGGACGTCCCCACCAGACAGTGTCCCGGCTGACCGCCCCCAGCCGAGCGGTCCGAGCGGAGGGCGGCAGGACGCCCCCACCAGGCGGAGTCCCGGCTGACCGCCCCCAGCCGGTCCGCTGGTCCGAGCGGAGGGCGGCAGGACGTCCCCACCAGGCGGAGTCCCGGCTGACTGCCCCCAGCCGAGCGGTCCGAGCGGAGGGCGGCAGGACGT